GCGGGGTATAAATTTAATAAATAAATAAATAAATAAATAAATAAATAAATAAATAAATAAATAAATAAATAAATAAATAAATAAATAAATAAATAAATAAATAAATAAATAAATACAACATCAGAAAGGCACCTGTATGAACAGAAAGGGCATGAACTGCATTCAGAGTTCTGTATCTTTATAAATGTGAGGATTTTTTTTTTAAAGGAGTATGCCATCAGATAAGAAAGAAATAGCAAATTGTGCAGACCTAATGCTCAATTTCTCATTGTATCCATATCTGTTATGTTTAACCGACAATGTTTATCCATGTATTATAATACCACACTGGTCTGTGTTGCATCTTCGAATGAATACAAACTCTAGAGCGCAGATGAATTGCAAGCGTGTTCAAATCACTGGAGCAAAGAAACGCTAGAGTAATTTTGGCCTGTAGTCTCTTCCTGCTTTGGAATCTATGTTCTTTGTTCCTTGATCATCTGTTTTTAAAGCATTTGAACAAGGCTGAGATAGACCTGACAGAATGGTTATATCTAAGGATGTACGTACTGCTTTCGAACAAATGAACATTTTAAAATCTTTGGTCACACTGATCTCTAGTGGCAAATGCTTGTGTAAACACATGAGAGGATAATAGTATTTTATTACTTGATAAAGAGTTGAGCATAAAAATACTGAGCAAACAAAATGCATATTTTCTGTGAGGTTCATGGTTAGTGAGGTACAAAGTTTGGAATGGCTTTGTTTTGTTTTGTTTGTGTAGATTGTCCTGCCAAGTAAAGTTTGTGCAGTCATTTAAAAATACTTGCGTAGTTTTAATAAATTGTGGGGTGAATTCAGTGAGCAGCAGTAATAGTGTTCCAACAGGTACAGAGATCTGTTTGAATAAAATTCCTCACAATCTTAAGCAGTCTAATTTCTTGTGGCTCTTAGCATGCTTTCAAAAACCCTTTGCAATGATCAGTTCAAACCTTTGACCAAAGCTTGGGAAAATGACTGTTTTCAACTGCAATGTTCAGAATCCAGCATAGCCAATAGCCTGCTCCAGGAGATTTATGACTCGGTGTGTGCCATTCAGATTTTTTCGACTTCAACTACCAGTTAGCACTGGGACAGCTTCTTTTTTTAACAGGAAGCTAGGCCATAATGCTAGGCCATGAAGTCTTTCAGCTAGGCCTTTCTCCAGGTGAGTTATATTTAGATGTCTGTATGCGTGGGTCTTTCAGGTGGCATTCATAGAATTCTGGGAGGTGAAGTCCAAAAAATCCAGATGGTGCATTCCATCATCATCATTATTATTA